CCTGAACCTCCATTCGTAACAGTTATTTCTGCTCAAGGGCTGTTTGATACACTATTTGTCTGAGGGTGGTGTTGGGCAGAAATTTCGAGCATAAATTGTATGGAATGAGCGGATTTCCCTTTCAGAGCCACATCTTGGCTCAGAAGATACCGAACCATCCATATCTTGCGTCCCTGTGCAAGTGCGCCACCCCCCTAGATGTGTGTTTGTATGCGCAGGCAAAGAAGAAGTGAACCACCAACTTCCTGAGCTGGGCCACAGGTACATGCATGGTCGACAAGATCCAGCTTGGCTGAAGTCAAGGATTGGTCTACCTGGCTTGATTTTACTGGGGCCACTAATCTAAAGCTTGAGCGTTGTGAGCAGCATGAGCATCCTTTGCGATCCCAATTGCAACAGTTGGCTCAGTCCAATGGAAGCAGTGCATGTATTTGCAAGATTTCAGCAACATTTCATCTACCGGGCAGGATCTATATAACTTTGAAATATTTGCTTGGGATCCTTTCTGACTGCCTTGACGTCCTACTGATCATGGCTGATGCTTCAGCGGGTCCTCAGTGCCCAGTGCTTGATGCTTGGGGGAAGAGCGAGGTGGTTCTCAAGCGCCTGCTCGAAAAAGATTTGGTCATTGTCAGTGAAGGGCGCTTAACCAGGGGCACGGTGACAGCAAACAAAGACTTGCTGATGCCATTGATCGAGTTGGTTGGAACCTGGGATAGAGATTATACACGTACCATGTGCGTTGTAGGCTACCAGTAAAGCGAATGGCAGATTTGCCTGCTCTTATTAAGGACTGCGCCCAAGTGTGGACTTGGTTGCAAACTACCTCCACCGCTTCTACGCCGGATTTCGCCCGATCAACAAGCCGTTTCCATCCAGCCACTAGTTTGCAATATATTGATCATGCAATGATGCTGTGTTGTTGTTCTGCCTCGCTGGCCTTAGTAGCCTAGGCCTTACGATCAAAACACAAGCCTGGATCATACGCCGCTTGATTAGTGTTTTCTCCCGTGCTGCAAAGCGTCCCCATCATCCACGGAACCGGGATTTCCGAATGATGATGCAAGAGGCTGGCCTCAGACCCCGCGGCTGCTCGTCTAGCTAGGGGCTTGAGGTTGCTGGGGATCAGGATTGATTTGGGGTACATGTTCCAGCCATAGGTAGCGGGATAGCCCATAAGACGATAAAAATACAACGCTATGTATAATCTTATATATAAGATAAGCATTTCTGGGCCTAACAAGGTCAGGATGGGTCAGGGTTAATTATAGGCGATACGCAGGGAGAGTTTATATGTACCATTGGGGTGTATAAGATTTGTACAAGCTGCTACATCCTTTGTGTTGGTACTGTAGCTATGGGGATATCTGGGATAGCTGTTGCAAGGCTCTACTGATGATGGTGCTTCCTCTACTTCGGTGTCCAGTGACGGCGAAGGATCCGAAAGCTCAGATAGTTCTGGGCATGATTCTGAAGTGCCAGCTGCTACTGAGCCTAGTCCTACTTACATGGGCACGGCTGGGGACTTTTAATGCATGGGTTCTAGAATGGCATGTAAGATCATCTTTTCGATCTTCGTTGCAAATGGCCCCACTAGAAGTAATGAATCATGAGGAAGTGAATTCTTGGTTCTAACAAATGCCTGTTTCAGTGGGGGGGACTTGGCTTGCTTGACTACCCAAGGAGACTGGTGATGGCGCAGATGCCAAATCTGAGGATGCGGATGAGATCCCTCCTAGGTTGCCTCTGCCTTCAAGGAGTGTCCCATCAGATGGAGGCGAGGAAGGTACCCCGCCGCCCAAACCTTCAAAGCGCCCCATCCCTTCAGAGAGCCCGATGCCCCCCAAGAATCGTGTCAAACCTAGCTGTTCTGCTGCTGCTGGGGGCCTGCTTGAGAGAACTCCCTCGACACATGCAGGTTGCTAGGCAATATTATGCTCTTTGCGCTAGCGGCTTTGGTAACCTATACCAAACCCTTCCTGTGCCATCGCTGCCCAGGTTCTTCGGATGCCTCTTTGACTCCCACGGTTATCACACCACCTCCGCGAAGCAACTCTTTTGCACATGTACACATTGCATGTGTGCGACTGCAGGCAATTCATGCGCTACATGTGGGAATCTGTACGTTTGTGGCTGGGAACTTAGGTGAGCCTGCGTCCCCTATGACTCAGTGCAAGTCAAAAGGGACCCACTACTTTGTGAAGGATAGACGGCATGGATTCACTTGTTTGATTTGTGGCATGTCTGGTGACCTGGATTTCATCAAACGGGTACCATGCAATTCTGCTGCAACCTCGCCACCGCCCGAAAGCAACGCTAAGCCCAGTGCTACTGAGACCAAACTTTGTGGGGAGGAGGCTGCGCGTGCGGCAGCTGCTGCACTTTCCCTTGAAAGTACCAAGCCGCCCCAACAGGATCTAGCCACAGACGAGGCTTTAGCAAAGCACCTCCGGGATTTGGAGTTTGAGCAACACGAGCTGGAGCAGATGCTCATTCTTCAGCAACTGGAGAAGGAAGAAGCGATCTTGGCTGGCCTTGTTAATGAACAGAAGGCCTTGGCAACGGCTGAGAAGTTTGCTCAGGAAGCGGTGGAGAGAAGACAAACCACCCCAGCCCCAAATCCAGCACAAGCCAAAATCGACCCCAAGAACCTGAACTCAACATATGGCCTCCTGATTGATTCATGTGCAATATGCGTTTTTGTTGCTGTCAATGCATGAGCTGCTAGGTGTGGTAGTTGAGAATCCGTTGCTGAATCCAAGGCTATGATGACATGGATACATGCCCCAACCCGTTGATGGCGGCAGCGATGGAAGAGATGGGACCTGTCTGTGCGTCTACCCCTTTGGGTGCAGAGAGGGGGGATGATAAAGCTTTGTCAGCTTCAGCTTCCCTGGATCAGCATGACAAGTCAGCTCCTTTACTACATCGGTCATATGTCACAGGCTAATGTTATGGAAAGTGTCCATGATCAGCCTGCGCTACATATCAGTCGCGCGTGCAAATCCAATTGGCATGTGCGTTGTTACAAAACCTAAGGCGGCTCCTTTGGAAATTGGCCCCGAGGTAACCCATGAGTCTCTTCCTACCGAAGAGAAATCGAAGGAGCCTCTTCGTGCTAAAGAGAAACCGGAGGAGAAGCCGGCCTTGCCTGCAAGTCCCGAAAAGAAGTCAGATGAAAAGCCTGTGGTGATGACGTCCACACCAAGCGCTGTTTTCTGGATGATCCAGCCATACTAGGATGATTTTATATAGTATGTACAATTCCCACGCATGCTGCTTTGCCTGCAGATTCATGTGCTAAGGCTCTCCCTCCGTGCCCAGTGGCTTTGGAAGAAGCGGTAAGTCCCAGCGAACAAACCAAACTTTCGGGAGCAGAGCCAATCAAAAGGGTGAAGGGGAAGAAAAAGCCAGCTGATGGGGATGACAAAGAGGGCCATGGGAAAAAGAATGGGAAGAAGGAGGAGAAAGATAAGGAGAAGGATGAGGAGGAGAATGCTGAGCAGGATGAGGAGGACGATGAGGGCTTAGAGGATGAGCATGATTCCGAGGCTGATAGCTCTGGAGGATCCAAAACCCGTGCTCGCATGGCCAGCAAAGGGAGGGGTCGCGGAGCAGGACGGGGAAGGGGAGGAGGGCGTGGGAGAGGGCGGGGTCGGGCAACCAAATCAGGGCCCCCAACCAGCCCCCGGGCTATTTCCACCAAGCGCAGAATTTCAAAGGCTGAGGAGGACCAGGAGCCTTCAGAAGCTGAGCCTAAGGCTGCTGCAAGCAAACGCATGAGCAGCAAAGGCAAGAAGGATGGGGTGGAGATGAAGCCCAAGGCGAAAGCCAAATCAAATGCAAAAGGCAATGCCAAAGCAAAGGCCATGGCAAAGACGGCAAGCAAATCGAAAGCGCCCAAAGCCAGCAGCACCATGGGCCGCCCGCGTAAGACTGAGGGTAAGAGTCCGGAAGAGCTGGAAGAGATGGCAAAGGCGTCTCGCAAATCATCCGCTTATCACAAAGCCAGAGCGCTGGCGATCAAGAACGGTGCTTCAGTTGATGAGGCCAAGGCGGCAGGAAAGGAAGTTCCTTGACTTGGTGATTTTGAAATCACACACCTGCCTGTTGTGTTACTACCTCTGCGCGAGTATCTTCTACTAGAAGCCCCTGAAATCTCATTGAGGCCTATCACAAGACCGACTAGATCTGATGATGGATATGTACTCTGGATGTGCCTGAGCTTTCTGTATGGGTTGGTGCAGCAACATGCAATGCATGGTTGTTGCAAGCGCCATGGGTCGGGATCTCTAGCAGATCCTACGGGGAATGTTCCATATTATATGCGTCGCTTGGGGAGACCTGGCCGGCTTGGCTAGGCAATCAAGTGCACATGTGTGCCATCACGCAAGTGCCTCTGGAAAATGCTTGGAGAGCTCTTGCCTGCATTTCTGTTCCTGTGCACTACTTGGCATGAAGCCTGAACTTCCTTTCCCAAAACCTGAAACATATGTACATTTTCTGCTCCATGCCAGGATGCCGCAAAGAAAGCAAGCCTTTCCGTGCGATGGTTGGCGAGTTCGCGATCAGGTTCGTGGTGCGCCNNCCCCCCCCCCCCCCCCCCACCTTGCCTTTCGCCTAAACTTCCCTGGTGCAAGCTTTATGCAACATTGATCAACATTGCGTGTGAAATCTTTTGAAGTCTGCACTTGCATCAGAGAGTGACTGCTGCTGCACCTGTATGATCAAAGATTTTGCTAACTCTGAGAGGGCTTACACATGATACTTCCTACAGACGCACTTTTTCGCAACTGTTGTTATAACCTATACCAGCTGGGTTCACAATTTATACTTGCAAAGGGATAACCGTGTAGGTTATAGCAGTGACCCCAGACCTCCAAGTTGGCTTGCAGCTTGCAACATGGTGAGTACTGTAGCAGTTTGTTATGATTCTTGGGGGCTATGTACAAATTATTGGGGGGATTTGGGTACTGCTTCTCAATGTCTTTCCTTGCCAGGCGGCGCAGATTGTCGTAGGGTTCAAGAGCCTTTAGATTTGAAGACCATCGGCCATGGATCAATCGATTGTTATGAATCTTATGCAGCTCGGTGCTCCCAAGGTGGCTCGTAACTGCATTCAGCTTGCCTCCTCAGAAGATGCGTTGTAAGGCGCCATAGCATGTAGAATCCTTCGCTCCAAGGTGTTTATTGCCGTGGTCTGGGCCCTTAAATTCGATCTGATATGGTTGATGCGCGGTATAGGGTTGTACATCATCGATCAACCCCCTAGAGGTCCTGCTCCTACGTTGGATGACGAACCTGGAGTTCAATCTGAATTATCAGATCTTCGATCTCTTTTCTGGAATTGGGAATGTTTCCAAAGTATGGTGCCTGGGTGTGCACTAGTATACAATTAATAAGATTAGCTAGCCTGATGCTTTGCTGTGGGATGTCTGACTCAGCTAGCAAAATTCAAGCTGCGTGCAATCTGAGGAGTGAAAGTGGATTCCAAACAGCTCGCTACGACAAGCTTCTGGGAGAGGAAATGAATTTTGTGACCAGCGCTGGATACGCGCTCCCTACTTGCACCAAGCTGCTATTGTTAATTATTATCAACAATCTATTGATCATTACTTGAATCCAAGATTGGCACTCTGGGTCACGCTCAATCTGGCCCCAGACGGTCTAACCATGGTTGGACCTGATTGCTCATCGTGGGGCCTACCTGCCAGATCATCTTCTGGAAGGTCATATATCAACCCTCTTGGAAGAATGTCCAGCGAATGGGTGGCAGACAATACGAAGATCGTTTCGAGGATCCTACATGGCATTTAAGTAGGCAAGTAGGCAACAGACCAATCCAGGTACATTGCCTCTGACCCCGACCCCAATAAAGACCCTGAAAGCTCAGGTTGGTATTGCTCCTCCTCTTGGCTTTGGCACGACATTCGACATGGATATTGGAACAACCAAGGCAGTCTTTGTTATTCCGTCACCAGCGCTGGGAGTGGTTTGTAAACCAGGTGGTATATGCTACTTGAATGCATATTACATGGTTTAGAATTCAGGAGCCCTTTCATGCATTATGGAATCTTGGATCGAATAGTGCTGGATCAAGCAAACGAGGTCTACCAATCCACGTTCTGGATGATTCTTCATGGATGTGGGTCTCCCAAGCCCACTATATGTTTTTCCCCGATGAAAACCATTGAGCAGCTGAACTTGGGCAAGCTGACAAAGCAAAAGAAACAGGAGCTCACCACGCTGGTGACTGTGCGTGTCTGGACTACATGTAGTGCTTATGGTACAGCCTAAATAATTAATAGCCAACTTAACCCACATGGTTCTCAGGCAAGCATCAGACCAAAGATGGGAAAAAGTGCTTCACCGGCAGAAAGGATGAGCTGAAGCAGTCGGGGTGCCTCGGCTGTGAAATGTGCCAGCTACTGTATTACTGTAGCACAGAGAATTTAAGAAGCTAGGTTTTGTTAACATATTAGTTAACTGAGGATGTATACGGAGAAATTTGCCCGCAACCTCCTGAAGCTATATGAAGACTGGTGCCTATTGCCTCCTGCAGACCGTGGTGACCTTCGTGCTCGTAGATCGGTGAATGCAAGAAAGACCGACAGGGAATTATTTCAGAGCATGAGCCTGGGTGATCTTTGGATCGATGCTGCTGTGCACGAAGTGTTCCTCTACTTATATGGGTGCAAATACTGCGTGACACTTGTCTTCCAATTCTAGATAATTGCGTGGCCACCTGAACCAACAATCCCCAAAACATTACTGGACCTCTCACCCACTCCACTCCCAGGATTCCCGACTCGTGGACACAGGTGATGGCACAGTTCAAGCAGGAAGTGGTTAATCATGTCTCCCGGATGAGCTACAGGGATGGGTTCAAGGGACAAAAGCTATATAGATTCATCCCAAGCCAATCCAGAAACTTTTGTAGCCAAACTTTAGATCGTCTAGGTAGATACATTATATGTATATATATATATATGCATAATGGGAAAATCGTTAACTAATGAATCATGAGTTTCTGGATTGGCTGCTATGGCTGCAATCATGTGGGCCAGGGAATTGTAGAATATTGGAATGATCAAAAGGATTTGAGGGTCATAATGAATTTGTGCTGGGAACTTATAGGTGTATAGCCTATGAACCTTTATTATAGGTCCCCTTGAAATGGTTTTGTGTCAACTTCTAGAGTTTTCTTTCTTGAACTGTAACCCTGTATACTAAATTGCCCAGCCTAGCCCTAAGCCCTGGACACTTGCTTCCTGCTTATAGTGGTTGGCCTTTATTGAGATCCTTTACTTTTTGCCCACCAAAACTTAGTTTGCCTGCTTGTAGACCATGTTTGCGGGTTATATATGTATAACACGTACAACCCTACTACTGCAGGCCTGCTGGATCTCTGTTGCCTCCGATAGATATGTCCACAAAGTGACAGGGATTTAGGTTGTTCGTCTAAGGCACACAACATGCCGCCCCCAGGTCCCGGAGTAGAGGGTTTACAGGGTTTTAGGGTGTGGTCTGGCCCTTCTGGCCAAAATCTAGCCCCGACCTCTCTGTCCCTGGTAGAAAGCAATGGCCAAGGCCCTGGGCTCGGACCACCTCCGGCAGGAGCTCTCTCAGCTCCAGAGAAGCATAGACCCAAAAGAGCAAAAGCTCTAAAATTCGAAGGCTTTCTTTGAGCATAAAAGCCTAGGACAGTGCACTTTTAGAAATTCGGCTACTTTTAGGAAAAGTGGAGGCCGCACTCCGGGCGCAATAATCCGCTACCCGGGCGCAATTTTGCGCAACCGGGCGCAACTTCGAAAAGTGTACCTAATCTCGTGCTGTTCTAGAAATTATCGAGCTGAAGTCCCTAAAAGTATCCCACAAGCCCAGAAGAGGTCTCCCAATTGCAAAGCTTGGAAATTACCTCGGTGTGTACAGTATGAAGGAAAAGATCGTGTACTTACGATTGCAGTTTTGCACACGCAGTTGTTCTTTCAAGCGCGGCTACAATTATGTGAATACCTGTTGACATGCGCCTGTTCAGCCCCTGGCTGCTCACTGGCTGTAGTGCACAGACCCATATATGGTGTCTCGACTTTGGTCTTGTGACACTTTGGCAAGAGGTGTCCCAATGGTGGCTACAGGATTAGAAACATCGGCAAATGGTGAGGAACTTCAAGCAAAGATTGAGGTATCTTGTCTGCTTGGTGACTTACTTTATAAACCCCACAGCTGCTGAACCCCCCTTGCCAAGGCAGCCAGAGCTCGCATAGCTGCTCTTCATGCTTCTTTGCAGAAGCAGCCCAGCCAGTTGCTGCCCGATCCTGTGCCAGGTAGGTATAGGATTCTGAAAGAGCTTCAATTCCCGGGCCCAATAATAATGGAAACCCTTTCGGAATTTCTGGGTGATTGTCCAGCAGTCTCTGTGTACTTCCATATATGGATGGATGTCTGGAAATTGGGTTACGGTACATCGATATTTACAAGCGTAGGGTGTAGGTTTTGGTATAGAGGGTGGTCCCGGGCTTCAGTCCACAAATGTTCAGGGTTTCTTATAAAGGGTCCCCTTTTGCCTCTATATATATAATACAATATCTTTTTATCATAATACTTTCATACTTAAAAAAAGCTAGTGGTTGTAGGACTAAGATCTAGCTAGCTTGTCAGGTCAGCCCACGACTGCTCTGGAGGGAGATGCCTCTGCCATTGCAGGAAAGAAGCTGCGCGGGCTTAAAGGTTTCAGGCCAAGCAACCAGGACGGTCAATACAGACCCTTTGGTCCTGGCACTGCCACCCTCGACCTAGAAAGCCTTCACTCGCCCAACAGGGACTGCACCCCCCACAAGATTAGTCCGAAGAAGCCTGAAAGCTCACCCATGCCAGATGAACGCGCCCCCCCAAGCCTGCGCTATTTGCTGAAAAGTGGTTCATTGCTGAAAAGCGGTTCCTATGAGGCACCCACTGTGCCTTACCGTGATACCACAAAGGCCCCAGAAGCCATGGAGCGCTGTGTTCCTGAGCCGGGCAAAAGGCATAAGCACAAGGGTTGGACGGATTTGGAGCCCACTAAGCGGAGCTTGAAGTTGGAGGAAAGCCCTGGCCGTGCCTCTGCATCTAGTTTGCAAGAGCGAGGCATGATATCAAGCCTAGATTAGGTCGCAGTTTTCATTTACAAATCCTGCTAGTGGGTAAGGTTCATTCTGCTGCTTCTTCTGCCAGCGATGGGAGTCACAAGCGAGCTCGCAGCCCCACCTATTGGAAGCATCATGGCTTAATAATTGGGATCAAGGAGCACTTCACACCCTACAACATGGAAGTTCTTCAGATTGTTTCCAGCCTAGGCTCCGCCGCTATTTTACTCCAAAGGCTTGCGGAAGTCTCAAGTGCAGCAAGGAGTCGCTCCAGTTGTATAAAACGGATGCTGGACGCATCTTGCCTGCATGTGGGGGAGTTGCTAACGGCAGACATGTTGCTTGAAGATTGTACCAGTACTGCATGACTTGTTTTCAGGGGAGAAGTTGCGCGAAATGCTCAAAACCCACGGGTCTTTCGAGAAGATGGAAGTTTTGGCCAAAAAATATCACAAGAAGCAGTTTGGCCAGCAGCTGCAGGGTGGATGGTACACAAAGTACTATCTGGCAACAGTTGCACACTGGACGAAGCTGCCAGCTCAATTCAGATCATTGTTCTGCAGAATATATAGCCCACCTTCCAGTCGTGTAAACGGATCTTAATAGAAAAGCCCAACAAGGCCTATGATTACTGCTGCCTGGCAGTATGCTGCTGCTCACAATCTGTTGCGGGTTAACAAGATCCACAAGGAGGAAGAAGCTCGTTTGGTACTCAACGAGACCTTCCAGATGATCGACGAGACGGGATCCCAGATCACAATGGAGGGCAGCTTTGAGGTTGAGGCCCACTAGTGTGCTATGCAGCTTCTGCAAGAATAAAACTAACTAGAGATCGAGAGAGTAGAGGGAAGGAGGGAAGAGTAGAGGAAAGAGAGAGAGAGAGAGAGAGAAAAGACAAAAAGAGAAAGAGAGAGAGAGAGAGAGAGAGGGAGAGAGAGAGAGATAAAGAGAGAGGGAGAGAGAGCGAGTGTGAGAGAGCTAGAGAGAGAGAGAGAGAG